AAAATCTCTCCTAAACAAACTCTAATGTTAGTTTATGTGATAAGTGGGCACCTTATTCATTGGAGTAATGTTATTCAACACTATTAGTGTTAAGCACCAGTTTATTTGACAATTACATGATATTAAATAATAGATTCATTTAAATGTAAAGTCTATTGACTCATTTAATTCAATTTATAAAGTATAGTCATCTAAATTGGTATTCTAGCAACACTAGTGCTAAATATCATTATTCTATTCATTATTTAACTCATTTGTGATGATTTTATTATTCATTGGAGTAATGTTATTCAACACTATTAGTGTTAAGCACCAGTGTATTTGACAATTACATGATATTAAATAATAGATTCATTTAAATGTAAAGTCTATTGACTCATTTAATTCAATTTATAAAGTATAATCATCTAAATTGGTATTCTAGCAACACTAGTGCTAAATATCATTATTCTATTCATTATTTAACTCATTTGTGATGATTTTAATTCATTGGACAATAATTCAAATGAGCCAATTGCGATAAAACGAGTAATTATTGCCACCAATGATTGATAACATTTGATGATATTTATTCAAAAATAATCTTAAAAGTCGTGTTTGATAAAATAAGTAGGATAAAGCTTGTTGTACCGAGTGGTTGACAACCACTGACAAGTGGCGTGCCCCACTGTGACTTAAAAAAAAAAAAAAATTTTATTCACCCACCTACCCCATGTGTGAGAGATTGTCAACATATTCACCTCCCTCCCCCATACAAGTAGCATAATAGTTGTAGTAGATATAACGTTTAAAACTTCTCTTTTTCAATTTTCTACGTTTAACATCCATTTATTTCTATCTTTAGTGTTTGATAAGTTTCTTTTCTGTGAACGACTTGAACAATACAATTATTTCATAATAATCACTAGTAAAGTTGGTATGGTGGAAATGTGCTATATGCCTTTCTTCCCGATTATCACTTGCATCATTGATGTTTTTATGACATCTATATAATATAATAAGCCGACGGTCACTCTTTCTAGGTTAGGTGATGTGATACATGATATAAGGACAAGTTCGAGCAAGAATTCATTGAGGAAGGGTCTAAACTCTCCTATTTCTTCTCTCATTTTCCTTTTTAGTGCATATTTCACTAAAAACCATAAAATTATTATACATCAAGTCGACTGTTCTTCAAACATTTGTTAATTTTGTGTCCGAGTTAAAAAGTTACACGTGATGTTTTTACCATATAATTGTACCTTAAAGTTTTTTTTAATAATATTTTGCTAAAACATGTGTTTGATGTACTTATGATTAAGAAAAGGATTTTTATTGTGGAGATTTCTTTAAAATAAATAATTTATTTTTCCAGTTTTGACAAAAAAAAATAAGGGCTTATACCATGACACTGACAAAGTAGCACGGTCCAAAAAATTAAACAATTTATTTAGAATTGGGTTTATCTATTTTGCTGTGGTCACTTGGGCCTTGGCAGTGCCGGGGACAACTGGAGGTAGGGGTGGGAGATTGACCCTAGCGGTGTAGCGAGGTTTTTTAGAATTCACTAATATGTAGCCAACATGCAGATCCACCAAAAGAGACTAAAGGAACGGTATGTGAAATCATCGACTCAAGCCATTGTAGCCAAACATGCCGTGTTTTTTAAATGGCCACATCAACGTTCCAGTCATCACATATGCCTAACTTACTAATTATTCACAATAATGACTTTTTCAACATTCAAAGACAAAAAAAACCCTCCGTTCGAAAATTTGAAAGTGAGAATTTATTCACAGACTTCGTCAAGAGGCCCCCCAACAGCCCAACCTTAACAGACGTCTGAGAAATCCGTTAACAGACTCCCAAATCCCCAGACCCCTCGGACCCCAAATCCCTAGACGTCGGGACCCTTCAATTGTCGACCTCATTAGATAATCGACCTTATGTGATTTATTCACAGATTTGAATTTTTTCAACAATACAAAGATTTTTTTTGTTTAAATCAATGAATATTACAGCAAAAAATACATTATCCATCATATTATAAGTAAAAGAAAGTAAAATCTAACCAAATAAAAATGAAGAAACTGAAAATGGAGATGGAGATAGATGAAGAAACCTTGAAGAATCGAATTTTGGTAGGTGAGAATTTCTTGACTCTTCCAATTTCTAACGTTCAAAATGAGGGGTAAAATAGATATTTTGAATTTTTTAAAAGGGTTATTGGCGCAA